CAAAAAAGCTTGGGTCAATATCTTCCATCGAAAAACTAAGCAGCGAAATATTCAAACCTAGACCGGAATTATAATATAATGAAATTTCGAAAGAACATTCCAAGACCGGCTGTTGACATATATTTAAAAAAGCAAAAACTGAGAAATAAAAATAAAACATGCAACATTCCGGTCAAGATGCCACTCTTTATCTTCCTCTCATTTCCATTGTTTTAGAAAGCTTCGGATACAATCCTTTGTTTTCACTGTCTTAGTAACACATTTCTGTTTCACCACCTGTCACATGCTGTTGCACAAGATCATCCAACAATTCCAGACGATGGGTTCGAATATTTTCTCACACGGAAGTAAAATCTATGTCAGTTATTCCGCGTCAACTTTAAAACGGCGGTTTCACTAAATTCTACCACACAATTTTCTGTTTTGAGAAGTTCGATTCAAAAATTTGACAAAAAATAATACGAGTGTCACCACGTATATTCGAATTTTGCGAATATTTTCAATAATCCAGTCGATTTCAAGAAGACACAGTTTCATCAGTTCACCAAATCTGGCAAGCCACAAAAAATATCGACATGAACACTTTACAATAATTAAATTATGTTCCGAATCCTAGTTTAAAAACCCAAAATTCCATCACTTGACTAAAATCACACCGTGGAACACTTTCATTCAAACTTGAAGAAAAAACATGTTCCCAACTTTTTCCACCAGTCATGTTTAGAATCAAGAAAATATTTTTTTTAATGTACGGTAAATAGCACCAGTTCCAAAAAATGCAACAAGAATGACGCTATCATACATTCATGCCGCTTATCACTTCACGAAAAAAAACATTCAAAAAGCTATCAATGTTTTTCAAGAAATCCCCCAAGGAATTATTTACAAAATGACGTTCCTGGCGAAAGTTAAAAAAAATTTACACGACACGATTACAACGTTATACAATTACACGAAGGAACAAAACTGATAAAATCAAAGAAAAGAAATTATCAACAGTACGCAACAAGCTTCATTCTCCATCCAAAGTACTCAAAAAATTTCGAAACTGTGAGAATGAAAAAAAAAGTCCCAGTGGTACAGTATTTTTTTCCCTCGGGACACTTTCCACGTCCGGACAGAACTTGCCGAGCAAAACCTCCAGTGTGGTATGAATAATTACCAGCGTCCTGTCCACAAAAGGCGCAGAAACAAAATCCGAAGCAACAGTCGGGAAAGGTCAGAGCGGAACAAACGAAATAAAAATATACAGAAAAATAAAATAGACCAGAAACAAACAAAAAAAAGGAAGAGCGACAAACACGCCCAGGAATGCGGCGAACGAACCACGGAGGGAGAAAAATAACACTACACCTCCCAGCAGCGAAAGAAACGAACAAGAAAAATAACACGACTCACAAGCGAGAGAGAAAATTGAATATTTTCCACTTATTTTAACTGACATTGCTGATGCAAAATTTTTTTTTGAAAATAAAATCTGCTGAATGTATCATCTCAGACTTGAACACTTCGGTCGGAATCCTGCGAATGCCAAGCATTGAGAGACTTGTGTCTCTCAACATTTATTTTGAACTCAATTGAGACACAAGAAAAAATTCCTGGATTTCAACAGAACGACGTTCACAGAACAACACTTTTATTGAAATAGCACATGAGACATTTACGCAAATATGAGCCCCCTTTTTCAATTTTAGAAGTTCAAAAACTAGGAGGGGTGATTTTATTCGCATTTTTTTGCAATTTTAAGTCGTGACACCGTTTTCTGGGGGAAATCCAAGTTTAGCAAGAAATTTTAGGTTCATTGAAAGTGAGAACACCCGAAAGGTAAATGGGTGCTGAATTCGCTTATTTATAGAATTTTAAATTTCGTGCAAGAAAAAATAATTGTGCAAGAAAAAATGCAAGGGGTGCTCATTTTCGCGTAAATACGGTATTTTTAAGACAAGCCAAAAAATCGCCAAGTCAAAATTTCTCCACATAACCACAATATTTCGACAGCATTCAACAGCGTATTTATTCTCTCTTTTTTTCCAAAATACAGCATCATCAGCATAATTTTAAACAACGAATATTTTTTTTCCCTCCGGATCTTTTGTTTAAGAAATTCCTGCGCGAGTGGAACACAAATTAAACCTCCTTTTCAAAAGCAACGTCGTTGTCATGCACAAAGCGTGATACTCCGCTTGTTACGCGTGTTTTTTCTTCCCGGGTCTGCAACGTAACCCAAGCCCCAACATACCTCCGAACCCTACCCCGAGTCTTCGAACCCGTGAGGGCAACGCATATGTTTTAAAGATAAAAATAAAAAGCTAGCTATTCCTGGGGTGAGGGGGGGAGGGGAATAACTAGCTTCGAGACGTAAGTCCCTCGAATGCCTAGGTTCAGTCTGAAAAAGCATTTTAGTTTTGCTTCCAAGAGTTTCAAGACTTCGGTGATTTTCTCTAGGCTTGCCTCAATCCCTTCTGATTATTTTGAAATACAGTAACTTGTGTTGAAATTGTTGAAAATATTCAATAATATAAATTCATGAACAATATAAATTGTTGAGGATTTTCTGGAACATAGAATACAGGATTGTAATTTTTGAATTCAAGAAAATATTACGATACGAAATTTATTTCTTGTCTCGAACAGAGACCAATAATCCAAGATAATTCTCGTCACATGAGCTTAGATGAAGCTTCTTCTCAAAAATTTTTCAAAAGGAGAATTGCAAAATTAAATCTAAAAAATACAAGTACAGGATTTTTATATTTTTCTGTTAGTGAAGGATGACTTGAAATTCTGATGTTGCAAATGAAATCTTCTCACAGGAAATGTTTAGGAATCGAGACACAATTTTTCACAATTAAAATGCCTACAGTATGTGAAACATGATTCTCGTCAACGAAGGTGTGAAATTTGTTTCCAGAAATTGGATATTCATTTCTTCCGCCTCAGTTTTTTTTTTTACAAAATTCATCACAAATTTGCGACACTTGTCAAACTATCGGAATGAAAATTATATCTCATTCATTTACGAAGTTCGTAACTCGAAGACTCTTCGGCATCTTTTAAATCATGATAAAACCGATGTCTTTTTCAAATTGCGCTATTAACCAATTATGTTGTTCAGCGTGAAGCTGCAGAATTACAAATAATTCATTACACAAAAATACGACTCGTGTAAGAAGCATATTTTCACTCAGTCAGAGTCGATTTTTTTTCGAGACGAAACTAGTTTTACCAATAACTCTTTCCAATAGACTGGTTTCGTGGAGTTATCTAGGCAAGACAATTCCAAAAATGGGGTGCTTGTACATTTGCATAACTGATCAAACTTTGGTGGTCACATTGAACAGCAGCTCGCAACAGGTTCGGAATACTGAAGAACCCCTTCGCCTTCGCAGTCAATGGATTTGACGGTGGGTTTTATTCTACCTTTTTCTGTCTGACACCCCATATTTTCCAAGCTTACGGTATAACAAAATATTGGTTGGTAAATTAAAAATGGCAGTCTGAAAATAAAATGGAAAAAAGAGGATGAGGCAACCTTGAAAAACGCCCCTGGACGTCTCAAAACGGGGCACGGTTTGACCCTGTGATGGTCGCAAAAGGGTCTCGGTGAATTACCCCACGAAAACTGTGGTCCATTGAAAAAGTAAGATAAAACACGCACAGACGAAAATAATATTCATCATACTCATTTTTTTTTTCTTCTGAAATGCCAACATGAAACTGCCAGAGGTTATGAACTCTGGCACATGAATGCATAAATCTCGCTTCACCCACACAAAAATTATTCTTTTCTACGCGTCCATTTTGGCGAATAATTCTGCTGATCAAACATAATCGCCCATTTAAAAAAAATGTTCAAGTTATTCTCCGTAATGATTCCAATTTCACTTAATTTTTACAGAAGTTTTGAATTTAGATTGATCACCTGTGAGCATGAAATTTAATTTGACGTCAGATAGCATTTGAAAATAAATATTAAAAGCCATCGATTCTAAGGGCGTGTCTTGATTGGCAAAATTAAAGTAAGTTCACGTTCATGCTTTGACAATTTCCAACACAATGAAATTAGAATGAGGAAAAGCGAAGGAGTTAGAAACCAAAATGTCTTGCCATTAAAGAAATACGACTGCCACAACGCTTTGAAAAGTTGAAAATTTCCAGCAAGAACCTGAAGTTGAATATTTCTCGGAATTACAGGCAAACTTAAGCAAAAAAAAGATAGCGTTAGAGAGGTTTTCAGTCGGGGAAACAAGCATTTGTGTTGTAGGATATGAAGAATTAAAGGAAATTTTGATTGGTGATACAGTATTCCAGGCCTTAAATTGCTTCTCAAATGCATGGACGGGATGCTGAACTTGGACGCAAGACTTTATTTGCCCAATTAGTCCTTCACTTCCTTTCAGAAGACATCCAGTTACATTTTTTATAACTATCCTCTTTCCTGTGTCAATAAAATATAAGCCAAAAGGCATCAAGAAAATTCGAGTTACGGAGGTTACAGAACGAGTTTGAAAGGCTTTCGAATGATTTGTTCATCAAGGGATTCAGGCAGGGACTTGAAAAAATTCGATAGAACGAGATTCGAGTTTCAATTCCATTTTGAAGAAGTTGATCAAAATATTCACGATTTCCTTGAACCAAAGAATTTTTTGACGTCCACTACAATAATCAATTCTTCCTTCTTGAAAATTTAAAAAAAAAAAAGCACAGTAGTCAAGTGAATTTCGCAAGAAAACGGTTGCTTCAAGCATTCGAATCCCACACAAGTTTCGGGTAAACCCATCGACCGTTAGCATCACCTTTTTTTTTTCCTGAAAGCACTTGGTGAAATATTCGTTCATTACCATCAAATTTAAAATTTTCATTTTTTCTCAAAAAGTAAAAACAACACAAGCGAGGTTTTTCTCCCCACTTTAGCGTCAGCCCAAGCAGACACTATCTCACCAGGTATCAGAAAAGAGCAGCGAAGAGTTTTGCCGAGGGCGTAAATTGACTGATCAGTATCACGAACTTACGCCGCAAATGGAAAACACGGAGTCTGAGCCTTTTGTCCATTTAGGGAACACCAAGAAAATATAAAGCGTATCTCTTGCAACGTCTAGCAAAAGCACCACCTTTTTTCCTTTCCAGAGCTCTTCCGAAGCTTCACTGAAGATAGCTAAAAGGGAAGATGAGTTTCACAGGATCGTCCAAGGTCCAACACAGAAAAATTGCCGTAATTTACACGAACTAATGACGCTCCTAACTTACGAAGAATCAGGGTTTCTCATCTTAGATGGAGTCCTAAATATCCGCAGATTCAACTGATACGTTATCACTTCAGCGTAAGATGAGAGCATAAACTGACCCAATTATAGAAAAAAAGAGTGTAGTATTCAAAGAAAAATCTGCAAAAAAAATCCCGTCAATTTTTAATAAGCGTTCCCTCGAACTCACTTAAACGCAAGGTTGATATCAATCGTCAGAAAATATATTTTAGCTTCATTAGCAGTTTCTCTGCACCTTTCATCGATGCATGAAAGATGATTTAATAATCGATACAATTTCGATCCCAATCAGTACAAAAGGAATATCATTATTTACGCGTAATTATCAAAGTTGGACATGATAATCTTCTTTCAGGAATGCGCAAGTTGAGCAAGAATTAAACGAACTCTGACTTTCGATGAGTTGAATCCGCATTACGAATAAGGATGAACAAAATTCATGTTTCACTTGTTCAAGCATGAACGAAACTTCGGGACGAATTAATATTTTTTCCGGAGTCACTGACCCGGGGAACAAGTTGCCCGGGGCGAAGATTCAAAAACGTCATCACTCATAACGGCAAGAAACGATTCATCACCACAGCTCATAACGACGAAACCCCCGCTCTCGAAGATTCAAATCATGGGTTTTCAAAGCAACACGAAATTTTAATTTCTGGCAAAATATAATTGAAAAATATTGTTTCTGGAAGGATTCACTTGAGCACAGCGTTAAGTTCAGTTTTCTTAGCAAACACGGATTGGTTTCTTCGGTCGACCGCCATTTGCGAGTAATTCGTCGAAGTGAGCTTAAAAAAGTTTCCAAACGGGTAAAACGCTTTCTCCTTCGAAGAATATGCTCAAACACGCAAGTTTACGCCATAAACAATCAAGATTCTATCAATAGGTCAAGAATGTCGGCGAAAAAGTTCACAGCATCGGTTAAATTCTGCTTTTATTTCACACGTAATCCAGTTTATTTTTAAAATAATGCCTCTCAATATCCGCGGCACGTTCAGTTCTTCACTAAAATGACTCCCAAAAATCTGGGTTCGACTATATTTCCGTGAATACGGTATCAGTTCATGTAAGACGAGCCCAAGCATCGTATGACTCATTGGTAGCTTTTTCTCACACAGACACGGTTTGCAACGATGTCACTGTTGATACGATCCCCAATAAGTACACAGACTCAGCACCCGGCTATGACGTAGTTGAAAATCTAATCGCGATTGATTCACTCGACTGAATCACTGATTTTGATCAAAAAAGAAGACTCACCTTCATCCAACAGCCGTTCGACGTGAAGAAACACATTCGGGAAGGCGCCGAGTTGCTTTCGGTCTTTCAGCAGCTGCGCCAAGTAGTCGGCTATACTGTGCGGGTTGTTATTCGTGTTATTTTCACCCATGGTGAAAGATACTCGTCTTGCGCGAATTTTTTTTTTTTCCACTCCGGACACTCGGTTTCAGTAACAAAGCAGTGCAGCAGAGGCAAACTAAAGTAATGATCGCACGAAAGTTTTTCTTGAATCTCTCTCGATTTTCCTCGTCTTTTTGTTCCGTTCAGTCCAGGTTTCGAGACGACACTACAGTTGCGGTCGGGTCAGTTAGTCGCGAAGTGTCTCGGAGCGGAGGGAACGGGCAGAATACTTCGCAGCTCCCAACCTACTCACCCAAGTCACAACGCCAGCGCTTGCGCCCCCTCGAAATCCGCATTACGACGCATCCACTCTGGGCCGGAGTCGAGAAAATGCTCCCTCTCCTTCGTTCGTTGCTCCGCCCACTGCGCTCCTCGCTCTCTCCCTCAACTGAAATATGCTCTCCCCTTTCTTCAAAATTTAAGTAATGCACAGCACTGTGACTGTTGTTTCAAGGCGCCTTTGTTCGATTCAACTTTGTCCAAAGTGAAATCCAATGTGACATTCCCAAACATTTGCTGTACAATTCATAAAAAACCAGTTTTTAACTGTACTGAAACCTATTTTGAGAGAATGTCTTATTCAGCCTTTGCTTTACATGAAAGTATTTCGCACAAAAACGGATGAATTCTGAGTTCAGTCTGGATGACATGATGCTTAGCTTCTAGAGAGATGTATGACCAAGTTGTTAGTTTTTAACTCTTATGTTCTCTTATCCAAAAGCGTTGCTATAACAATTATTCATATGCAGGCGGACTTTCTACAACAGTCTTGCCTACAACAAGTTTCTTTGTGGATCAAATTTATTTGTGGTCCCAGGGGGTATTCTCCCAATTTTGTGAGCATTCTCTGCAACAAAATTCCCTTTACAAATTTGGTTTTTTCTGATCCGTTGAGTTCTGCTGTAAGAGTCCACTATAGTCAATCGGTTTGACCACTTGGTATTCTAGGAAAGTTCATAATGTAGCAGAGAAAAATTGTATTTGAAAATTAATTCAGAGGTTCGAAGGCTTTGTGAATGATCAAAAGCTTTATGAATTGAATGCTATGTAATTTGTTCTTCATGCAATGTAAGGCTTTTTTCAGAATCAACACACAAAAAGTATGATGCTATGATTCCCAAGCTTTACACCTCCTCATCTGAACAAATTATGATGCACTTAGACTCAAGACAAGCAACTCATGCTCTTGGTGGTCCAGCAGATGTCTGACATGGTTCATTAATGATTCCAAACCCACATTCACAGAGAGCATATTTGAGATTAGCAGTTCAATCAGAGTTTGGACATTGTGAACTCTGCATAAATCCCATGGAAAGACACATGTGTGCTGCTGCGTACAGTATATACATGGCGTGGGTTGCGTTGGGTACTGGGACTGAACCAGGTGGGCGATTATCCAGGCTCTGGCCCACTGTGTTCCCCTCTCACAGGCTCTGCCTTGTAAGAAGCACAGACGGATGGCTGGCTGGCTTGGGCGAGCCGGAGAAAGGAGGAAGGCCACAAGTCCTTCACGCCCTGTCCCTCCCTCTCTCTCGCACGCTCTCTCCCCCCCATTCTCTTCTATCCCCTGCTATGCGTCTCACGTCCATCCACGTTTTCTTCATTCCCTTGCCCCGCTTCTTGCTCATGGGAATCCCCCCTCCCCCCCCCCCCCCCCCCCCCCCCCCCCCCCAATTGTCGTCCTCCTCTCGTCACCTGTCGCTGCTTTCCCGGGCCCCCCCCCCCCCCCCCCCCCCCCCCGTGGAAACACAGATCAGCTCGCCTCGTGGGGCTGCCAACGCTAGAGAATTAGTCCGACCGGCGATTTATTACCCATGGGTCTTTTCGTGGTCAAGCCTCATTTTCTTATGCGATTGCAGGAGAGAGCATGAAAACCACAGTAACTAGCCCCAGCTTTGCAAAATTCCGTGCTATTTCCACACCCACATTCTGGAATATTAATCACGCACCAAATCTCGATTTTTACCTCCGCCCCCCCCCCCTCCCGCTAGATGTGACATCTATCATCTGTGCCGGAAACCGGGTGTCGATAAATCTAGCCGTAAGTACGCTTTCACTCCTGGCTTTTGATCCTGCGAAAATTTGTCCGAGATTTGATTCGCCTTCGGAATCCGCACTCTGGCAACCCCCGGGGAGGTGAAGTGTTAGTGAGTCCTGCTACATTTAACTAGTGCTGGTGGAAAAAGGGAGAAGGAGAATGATGGCTTACACATATGGGCACCTTATTGGGATAGAAACAGGGGGGGGGGGGACCATGAGAAAAGCTGACTCAGAGGTACAGTACTGTACTTCACGGTGTAAGTGAAGAATCGGTCTGGGTTTCGGTGGAATTCAGCTGAAGAAAATGGGCATGATGGCAACATGGTGCACCTGCATGGAGTAAACAAGGTTCCTATTATTCTCAACAGACACATCTGGGGTTGAAACAGCATTTAAAAACATTTTTCCGCATCCATAAAAGAAGTATAGAGTTGTGTTTATTTCCAGTTTGAAGCATCCAGTACAGTGTATGAGATTGAAGTGCAATTTTTCAAATGCAAAATTCAAGATTCCCAAAGTTCTTATTGCAAGAAGGGAGAAGTCTAAACAAACATATTTAATTCAAAGTCACTTGCAGCAAAACATATAAAATGCAAATAAATAAAAAAACATGAAAAATATGCTGATTGAACATTCCATTGACATATCCATAATTGAAGAAATCTTATGAATGCCTTCTGAAATTTTTGCTAAAGTGTTGAACCAAAATAACTCAAATCTCCCTAAGTTGAATACATATACCTACTGAGTCATCTTTTTTTTCAAGTGCCCATTTGAATTCCCTTGAAAAAAAATGCAGTAAAAACCTCTTAAACTCAAAGGCTGTTCCTCTCAAATCTCCCTCTAACTTGAATTTTCTGAGGCTTTTTGCTATTATTTCTAAGATACAAGAAAGCAAAAGTCAATAAAAAATCACTTGATGCATTTTGAAAATAAGTGAAAGACTAATTGAGCAAATGAACCCTAGCCTCCAAGTTGAGCATGCTGTCAACTCATTTAAAAAGCATTTTGAGGACCAGAATATCACCAGTTACAATTTATTGCAATTCTTCTTTCTTTCCCACACAAAAAATGCTTGTTTCTTTAACTGGAAAACCTCCCCAACTGAATTTTTTTGTGGCTAGTCCCATGAAATTTGACTCACTAACTTCACTTTGTCTCAGGGGATGTGGTTTTCAAATTATATATAACAACAGATGTAACTCAAGAAATACCAAATTCGTCAGCATGTGGGGTGGGGAGGAAAACCAGGTCATCGCAAAAACAAAGGCCCTTCAGTGCAGCTTTGTGCTGAATGGATGCCTGCAAAAAAAAAAGAAAAAAACATATACTGTATAAATATATGACATGGGAGAGTTTCATGTTCAAACGTGGGGGTTCAGGGGAATAACAGGAAGATCTTTCTGGTCTCGAGATCAGGATTATGGTTCAACGAATATTGTACAAGAAAAAAAAGACGAAAAAAAACACATGTGTAGAAAGAGGAAAATGCTGGGAATTTTGGAGAGAAAAAAAATATATATATGGGATTTAAAAATATAAAAAAAGAGTGAGAAGAAGAAGGGCGGAGGGGGAATTTTAAACGGCGTCGTCTCAGTTTACTGACACCACTCTGCTTTCCTCCTCCCCCCCAGCACCGAAACCCGGGTTCCGATTCTGGGATGGTTGGCATCCTGACGCGCCAACTATTTGCGGAACGAGGAGAGGTCTTTCTTTTTTCTTTTTTTTTGTGCAAACTTTCATTACTTTCTTCACTCCTGCTTCCTGTCTTTCTTTCTGTGTGTGTGTGTGTGTGTGTCTCACCCTCTCTCTTTGTACATGTGCGTTTTTCTTACTTTTATTTTTGGGTGGTTTTAAATTTTCCGGTGGCCTTTTTCCTCTGGCTTTTTTCTCCTTCCTGTTTCCATCCTCACCCTCCCCATTTTTGCACTGATTCTGTGACTATGTGTGCGTCTGTCTCAATTCTGGCTTGCAGGGAGGTACTCTGAGATGTTTGGGTGAATTTCCTGTTTTTCTCATGCTGTATATACTGGGATCGGCAGCAGGTTTTAAGGTACAGTAATGAGCTGAAAACCAGGAAACTCAAACCAATGAGAGTTTTAAAAGGAATACTTTCTTTGAAATCTATTTGCTCAAGTACCAAGTGCTCTTGTAACTTGGACCTTCATTTTTGAGCTGCAAAATTGTGAATGAAGGCATCCTGAGGTTTACTTGCATTTTCTGTGAAAAATGTTCACCATGTAAGAATTACAGCGTATTGCTAGAAATTAATATTGTATGTTTCAATAGAATGATGACTCAGTTTTCTCACAGTTTTGATAATACAGTGTCCATGGTACTTGAGTGAACACAGTAATAGAATGAAATAATATGGGCCAACTTTATGAAATTCTTTCTTTTAATCATACATTGTGCTTTTCAAGCATGTTTTAATTCAAAAATGAAACCAATCCGGCATCAAGCAGAAGCATGACTGTACTTGACAAAACCAAAATTCTAATACCTTAAATATGAAGGGTACTTTAAACTGGATAATCAAAAGCTGTATCAAAAGTTGTATCACAAGGCATCAGGTGCAATACTCAAATTCATCAAGCAACTTTGTGAAGAAATCAATCTTTTGATACAGTAAGACCCCAAAATGTGGACACCTCAATATACAGATGATTGGACTTATGGGGACACTTGAAATATTGAAAAATCAGATTCAATGTCTGGACAAAATCTTAACATATGGACACTTACAAAAATGTCAATCTTTGGAATTTAAAATTCATGTTTCAAAATTTCAATATTTCTCAAATGATCAAGTTATTTATGTTCATATTAGTCAAGAAGAAATTTTATTAAAAATTCACTCAAATTTATAATTAGGGTAATCTTGTTATTATTTTTTTGTTGAGCATTCTCAATTATCTTTGTACAGTATACTGTAATAGCAAGGCTTGTAGTTTTTATTTGCTTTTGGCCTTTTTGATGCCAGAATAGCATGAGATTCTGAGTGGTTTGCTTGTACATAATTATATTCTAAATCTATTAGTTGACAAACACCTTTCATTAAATTTCTTGAGGGTCTATTTCCAATTTTTGATTAACCAGAAAACAAATTAACTGATTTACCATTGAACTCTATGGGAAAACAAAATCCAACACATGGACATTTTGACATGGAGACGAGGTTCCAACAACAATTAAGTTTGCATTTCAGGGTCTCACTT